AACATTCAACAGACAAGTTTTAACAGCTACTTATAATCAGGCAATATTCAATAGACCAACTATGTCACCAGGACAGCAATTGTCTAAGAAAAAGTCAACAGGACAACAGTTACTAGGGCAACATTAAGAGGACAACATTCATACAGAAAGCAAACAAGTCAACAGTTACCTAGCTAGACAACATTCAAAGGACAACATTCATACAGAAAACACACAACAAGTCAACATTCATACAGAAAACACTCAAAAAGTCAACAGTTAGCTAGACAACATTCCAAGGACAACATTCATAAAGAAAACACTCAAAAAGTCAACAGTTACCAGACAACATTACGAGGCCAATATTCATACAGAAAGCACACAACAAGTCAACAGTTGCCTAGACAACATTAAGTGGACAACATTCATACGGAAAACACACAACAAGTCAACATACATACAGAAAAAATTAAGAGGACAACACTCATACAGAAAACACTCAAAAAGTCAACAGTTACCGAGACAACATTAAGAGGACAACATTCATAAAGAAAACACTCAAAAAGTCAACAGTTACCAGACAACATTACGAGGACAATATTCATACAGAAAGCACACAACAAGTCAACGTTCATACAGAAAACACTCAACCAGTCAACAGTTACCTAGCTGGACAACATTCAAAGGACAACAATCATACAGAAAACACACAAAAAGTCAACATTCATACAGCAAACACACAACAAGTCCACATTCATACAGAAAGCACACAACAAGTCAACATTCATACAGCAAACACACAACAAGTCCACATTCATACAGAAACACACAACAAGTCCACATTCATACAGAAAACCCTCAACAAGTCAACAGTTACCGAGACAACATTAAGAGGACAACACTCATACAGAAAACACTCAACCAGTCAACAGTTACCTAGCTGGACAACATTCAAAGGACAAGATTCATACAGAAAACATTAAGAGGACAATATTCATACAGAAAGCACACAACAAGTCAACATACATACAGAAAAAATTAAGAGGACAACATTCATACAGAAAACACACAACAAGTCAACATACATACAGAAAACATTAAGAGGACAACATTCATACAGAAAACACACAACAAGTCAACAGTTACCTAGACAACATTTAGAGGACAACATTCATACATTACCTAGACAACATTAAGAGGACAACATTCATACAGAAAACCCTCAACAAGTCAACATTCATACAGAAAACATTAAGAGGACAACATTCATACAGAAAACACTAAACAAGTCAACAGTTACCTAGACAACATTATGAGGACAACATTCATACAGAAAACACACAAGTCAACATTCATACAGAAAACATTAAGAGGACAACAATCATACAGAAAACACACAACAAGTCAACAGTTACCTAGACAACATTTAGAGGACAACATTCATACATTACCTAGACAACATTAAGAGGACAACATTCATACAGAAAACACTAAACAAGTCAACAGTTACCTAGACAACATTATGAGGACAACATTCATACAGAAAACACTCAAAAAGTCAACAGTTACCTAGACAACATTAAGAGGGCAACATTCATACAGAAAACACTCAACAAGTCAACAGTTCCCTAGAAAACATTAAGAGGACAACATTCATACATAAAACACTCAACAAGTCAACAGTTACCTAGAAAACATTAAGAGGACAACATTCATACATAAAACACTCAACAAGTCAACAGTTACCTAGACAATATTATGAGGACAACAGTCATACAGAAAACACTCAACAAGTCAACAGTTCCCTAGAAAACATTAAGAGGACAACATTCATACAGAAAACACTAAACAAGTCAACAGTTACCTAGACAACATTAAGAGGGCAACATTCATACAGAAAACACTCAACAAGTCAACATTTACCTAGACAACATTAAAAGGACAACATTCATACAGAAAACACACAAGTCAACATTCATACAGAAAACATTAAGAGGACAACATTCATACAGAAAACACTAAACAAGTCAACAGTTACCTAGACAACATTAAGAGGACAACATTCATACAGAAAGCACACAACAAGTCAACATTCATACAGAAAACATTAAGATACATACAGAAAACATTAAGAGGACAACATTCATACATAAAACACTCAACAAGTCAACAGTTACCTAGAAAACAGTAAGAGGACAACATTCATAAAGAAAACACTCAAAAAGTCAACATTTACCTAGACAACATTACGAGGACAATATTCATACAGAAAGCACTCAACAAGTCAACATTCATACAGAAAGTACTCAACAAGTCAACAGTTACCTAGACAATATTATGAGGACAACAGTCATACAGAAAACACTCAACAAGTCAACATTTACCTAGACAACATTAAGAGGACAACATTCATACAGAAAACCCTCAACAAGTCAACATTCATACAGAAAACATTATGAGGACAACATTCATACAGGAAACACTCAACAAGTCAACAGTTACCAAGACCACATTCAAAGGACAACAGTTACCAGAACAACACTCAACAAACCAGAAATATCATTTTCCCATATCAATTGGTGGCTCATTCACCAATATTTGACAGATTGTTTCATAATGTCTTATTCCCCAATCACTGGGTCAACCATTCAACAATATATTGCCCAATCACTGGGTCAACCATTCAACAATATATTGCCCAATCACTGGGACAACCATTCAACAATATATTGCCCAATCACTGGGTCAACCATTCAACAATATATTGCCCAATCACTGGGTCAACCATTCAACAATATATTGCCCAATCACTGGGTCAACCATTCAACAATATATTGCCCAATCACTGGGTCAACCATTCAACAATATATTGCCCAATCATTAACAAGTCAACAGTTACCTAGACAATATTATGAGGACAACATTCATACAGAAAACACTCAAAAAGTCAACAGTTACCTAGACAACATTAAGAGGACAACATTCATACAGAAAACACACAAGTCAACATTCATACAGAAAGTCAACAGTTACCTAGAAAACATTAAGAGGACAACATTCATAAAGAAAACACACAACAAGACAACATTCATACAGAAAACATTAAGAAGACAACATTCATACATGAAACAATCAACAAGTCAACAGTTACCCAGACAACATTCAAAGGACAACAGTTACCAGAACAACACTCAACAAGTCAACATTCATACAGAAAACATTAAGAGGACAACATTCATACAGAAAGCACTCAACAAGTCAACAGTTACCTAGACAACATTAAGAGGACAACATTCATACAGAAAACACACAAGTCAACATTCATACAGAAAACATTATGAGGACAACATTCATACAGGAAACACTCAACAAGTCAACAGTTACCAAGACCACATTCAAAGGACAACAGTTACCAGAACAACACTCAACAAACCAGAAATATCATTTTCCCATATCAATTGGTGGCTCATTCACCAATATTTGACAGATTGTTTCATAATGTCTTATTCCCCAATCACTGGGTCAACCATTCAACAATATATTGCCCAATCACTGGGTCAACCATTCAACAATATATTGCCCAATCATTGGATCAACCATTCAACAATATAATGCCCAATCACTGGGTCAACCAACCAACAATATATTGCCCAATCACTGGGTCAACCATTCAACAATATATTGCCCAATCATTGGGTCAACCATTCAACAATATATTGCCCAATCACTGGGCTCTCATTCTCGCTGGTTAGTCAGTTTAATTACATCACACAAGTGTTGCATATGAAATTTTTATTTTCGTACAGATGATGACTGTAACATAAAAAAGTCAAAAGTAGTCACCTCTCCTGTCATTAAAGTCAAGAAACACACACACCGTTGTCAAAACCATCGCTCCTTTGACAGGCCGACATGGCAGTTATATGCAAATTTTAATCCAATCAAATGAGAAAATATTCATGACATCCAGCCGTCACCCCATCTTGATCCAAATGAATTGTATGATAATGTAACCTACTGCGAAGGCAATATGGACTCCAATCCTAGTAACACCACTTGTTCTGTCAGCCCCACTTTATCTTGTAATTAAAAAAAACAAGCTTCCACGTCATATCAAGATATGGATGTAAAAAAAAAAGCTAGTTTTCATACTATTATAATAAATGCATGGGCTATTTAGCCACACGATATCAAATCACTTCACAATTTGACAGTTATTTTTATTTCTTAGACACACATGTTGGCTTTCCATGTGAATAAAAAGCCATTTTACAACATGACAGTTGCTCTATTTAAAAAAAGCCCTCCTGTTGCTCCTCTTTAGTGGAAGACATGCAATATTATGCAGATTCAATCAAAGAAAACTCTGTAAAATTTTAAACGATATGACATCTTGCTACAGCTCTATTGTATGAGGAGAATTGTAAAGTGGATGGATATTAAATTTGTATTGATAAACTTTCACAACTATGATTTACACTCTGACACACTGTATTGTATTTTCAACAGTTCAATTTTTTATACGTTTTTGAAGCGATTGACCTATTTCAACATTGTTTCCTTGTATCAGTTTTTTTCTGGTTAATTGTAGGAAATTCTAGAAGACATTTAATCATATTTCTACAGTAGAATTTTTTTGTGGAAGACATGTATGCACGGAAACCCATCCTAATACGATTAGCACTTAGCGGCCATAACGACAGGGCTGCAACATATGGCCAGGAAAACGAGAAAACAGTAGATGGAGAGGCAGAAATCAATTAGAGATGATAATTAAAACATACGTACAATGACAGCAGCAGGAAGCTGGTGCCCTAATGAGCTTGATACATCATGTCACACAATTATACCTCTCCGAAGTCTTTGTGTTCGAAATTAACAACATGCTAGGTATACTAAGGACATGATGAAAAAAATTTCCTCGTCTTTAAAAACAAAGACGCAGCTTCCTGGATAAGTTTCCTATTTAATTAAAGATAATCATCTCTGAGGAAAAGTACCCCAGTTATCACCATACTTACAACACAGCAGTGTAAAGGTCAGCAGAGTAAAGGTCAGCAGAGTACAGCCTCAGGACCAGATAGCAACGAATCAGCCTCCGGGCGAGTTACAACTAAGTCTGTCTCCGGACAAGCGCCTACAGAATCAGCCTCCAGCCTAGCTTATGCACTTACACACCTATGTCAAAAAAGGAGACATCATTTAATTTTCAAATTAACATGTACAAACATTCCTATAAATACTGAACATTTTTTTTCAAAAGATCCTTTATTTCTTTGGTCATGAGTTATTAAATTGTTGTATACAATTATACAATTATTCCTAGCCAGGTTTAAAGGTGTTTTGACTTTTAAAATCATTATAATTCTTTGAATGTCAAAAACACAGTACGCTATGTTAAAGACATTTTTACCGCCCCTTGACTTGACAGATAAAGGCAGAAATTATTATTTATTATAGGACACCACTTGAAGCAGACTTTACTTTTGATTTGTCTTAAAACTTTAAACAGAACTGCAATAAATCGTCACAAAATGTGTAGAACTGTGAGCGGCTAGGAAGTGATAAGAGAGACGTACTAGGAATAAGTGTTCCTTTATATGTGTCCCAGTATTAACCTACTTATGTAATGATTACAGCTCAAAATAGTATTTCACCAATACAGCAATTCTTATATCTCTTACCAGCAATGAAACAACATATAACCTTACACTAAACTCAGACAGGAAAAAAACGAAGGTAACTACTGTTTTATGGTTTTAAGTACAAGACAATTGATTGTGATCAGATATGCCAGCTTGATAGGGACTTGCAGGTGGGATAGTATAAATGTCTCAAGTTAACTCATTCACCCCTGAAATTTTATAATGAACTATTCCAACATTTGAATTGGAAGAGTTCAAATGTGTCTTAAGGGGTGAATGGGTTAAACTGTTAACAAGTATGAGAAATATATTAGGACATTAAAGTAAGTGTGACATTATATTTCTAACTGATATCGTAGTTTGTAGAAAACTTACTATGACATCATAGATTGTAGAAAATAACTGACATCATAGTTTGACGGAGACCTAAAATGTAATTAAGTCACTTGATAACTTGTACAAAAGTAAGTCACATCATAGTTTCTAGAAGACCAAGAAAAGAATGTCACTTATGACAATTTGTATGAAATTAAGTGACATCATAGTTTGTATGGAAATAAGCCTAACTCACAGTTTGTAGGAGACAGGAGAGTGTGACATTGATTTATCACTCAGTTGTCTCCCCTACTATTAAACACAACAGCTTAAATGTTTACCAACATTATCAAAAAGAGGTAAGCTGATCCCTCTAAAAAAATGTAGAAAATTAAACTAATTGAAGATTCATTATGTACCTGTTTGTCCATTTTCTATTCTGAAATTGTTATAAGTCTAGCAAAAAAATAAACCCCATGACTTCTGATTTTTCTAATAAGGTATCTCACTTGTTTTGAAGGGTACAAATTAAGCCATAAATTTTCAAAATTATGTATCACAAATTCACTAAAAAAGTGATTACTTATTTTAGAAAAGTGCCTTTTACATAATAGAGAAATGACGAGTTATGTGTGTGCTATGTTACGAGTTATGTGTGTGCTATGTTACGAGTTGTGTGTGTGCGATGTTACGAGTTATGTGTGTGCTATGTTATGGGGGATTGTCCCTTTAAATGAGCTATGATGAGTGACTATGTGTACTGTCGTAGGTAAAATCACAGGTAACTGACAAACATAAATCAGACTACCTGTTGAAGATTTAAACCATCTGATAAGGAAGACCTGTCGCTTTGAGGAGCCCATATCACATGACTAGAAAGTGTGGGTATCTCCTATCTATAGCAGCTCGTTTTCCACCTTCTTTCTAACACAGGTGACCGGATCAGAAATCAAGCAGAAATCTATTGATCCAGTCTGCTGCACACATTGTGCAATTATTTGTAACTGTTGAACATTTGATGGCCACATGATCTGCTGTAAATGTCCTACAATTACGATACCTTCAATCGATCAGTAGATAACAAAGTGACAATTTATACCTTAAATCTATTTTCGTCACACATTTTGCTCATTTAGAATTCCACAAATCAGACATTTTAAGATTGTTTTATCCTTCAATATTTGTTTGTGTGTGAAAGTACATTTTTTTGCAAACATTTTTTATCATTATTAGAAAAAAGGTCAATATTAAAAAAAAAAATCCATCAAAAATATATCCTTCAACGACAGTGACTATCTATCATGAGGCCATTACTATGACGATACTGTCAGCACTGACACCTGTATCTGTTAGGGACAACAGAGGTCAGGCACACCAAGGAGATTAGCGGCCATAGCCGAGTGCACACAGCAACAAGCCGCACAGACAAGGATCCTCCCAATGATCCCCTCATGATGATCAGGATAGCAAAAGTCTCTCCCTGCATATAATTCAAACAATCCCCTCATTGTAAGATTAAAACAGTCCTCTTCAGAATATAAATCCCAATAGTCCTAACAGGCCATGAAATACTCCCAACCATCAGTCCCCTTCCCTAAAATGCATGAACCTTTCATCCCCAACCCATACCTCAACAGTCTCCTCCCTATGGGCAAGAAGCATTCCCCCTCAAACAGCCCCCATGCCTTTCTACAAGGCATGACAATTCCTACCCCAAGAGTCCCCCTCTCTGTAGGGACCATTAGGGAGGGCAGTCATTCATGCCCTCCCCTACTCCAGAGGTCCCTCTCCTTACAGGGCATGAAATAGTCCTAACCCAAGAGTCCCCCTCTATGTAGGGACCGTTAGGGAGGGCAGTCATCCATGCCCTCCCCTACTCCAGAGGTCCCTCTCCTTACCAGGCATGAAATAGTCCTACCCCAAGAGTCACCCTCTCTGTACGAAGTAGGACTGTTGGGGTGGGGAGTCATTCATGCCCCCCCCCCCCTTCCAAGGTCCCTCTCCCTACAGGACATGACTGACTCCCTTTCAACAACAGCCCTAACCTTCTTTACAGGGTATAAAGCACTCCCCTACGTACCCCAGCAGTCCCCCTCACTATACTACAGCTGGCTAGCCTGTTTTTTGTCTGTACAAACATTATCTGTGTACTGAGGCTGTAGTACAGGTGGCCCCTACACACTGACAGTCTCACTAACCCCATGGTATTTGATTCATAAAATTTTGTCAATGTAACAGAGAATCTGCTCATCCCTGCAGGTTTGTAACCGAGCCAACAACTCTCTGGAGATCCTGCAGTCTGCACATGTGTCATCACACCCCTTATTTTACTCCACTTCCCCTCCTCCAAACACCAACCTTCGATCACTTTTGGGTTTGAATTATACACACCTGCTATTTTTGCACCAAAGAGTTACATAGGCATGCTTACCTGTGCCATTGAGGTTAGAGTCGTGTCCTGCAGTGTCTGTATACAAACTAAGGGCTGATCACCATGTCTAATGACACACAACTGACATTAGACAGGTGTAACATCCTCAATTATCAGTGTGAATTATGGATTGACCCGCCTTTACCTTCCAAATTCACAGGGGCTGATGGCCAGCATGTTGATCTAAGGAGATCCAAACTTGGGCCGTATAAGTGAAAAGGATTGCTAAGTTTACGTAACACTACATGTAAATTTTCTGATCCAATCTGTTCTTTACTTATCAATCAGGTAACGCTATGCATTGGCCTATATTTTAACTGTTTTGCCACCACTTTTAATCATTTAGGTCACCTCTATACCTAACGGCTAAAAACCTGGACAGGATTATCATACTCCAGCATACGCGAGTCATTGTTTACCACTCAAGCCTCATTGAGTATAGACTAGGGACTGCAACATTAAAAAAAATCTCGGTCTCCATAATACCTAGTGCAGGTAACATTCACACATTGTTTCGTAGATTGCCTAATGACTGCTTCTTTGTTAAAAACTGAAAACTAATTAAACAGAACATGTGATGGTTGTGATGGAGATCAGTAAAGCGTTTTGTTTCGGTGGTGCCCCGGTCGGCGGCCACACCTTACGACTACACACCTGAGCCTGAATATCTATCATCCGATCAATTAATTCAGCATCACTGACATCTCCAAATTATGCAATTAAAATTTCTTACTGATTGTACTCGAAAAAAGGTACCAGTATGTTTCTATGCGTATCATATATCCAGTTAAATGTCCTTTTAAATTCTATGTGGATTCAAGGAATGAAAAAGAAGTATAAAAACTGAATAACATGTCTATGGATAAAACACATCTCTTATTGATAGCCTTCGTACCTAGGGTGTTATCAGATACGTTATAAACATGTTAGTTTGGAAACTCAAAGTAGTATGTGTTGAGGGGCTATCTAACAGCTCATATAGGTATAAATCTATACCTCATTACCGACAAAAGGGCCTAACAATCCCCTTCTATAGTCAGGTAGACTTTTTTTCTCAGGTGCAAATCCAGGTGCATAATGACATTTCAGTTTCAGCAGAAAATCCTTTTTGCACTCCAAATTTAAAAAAATCACGTTAATTTTGTGTGATTTCTAACATGCCATTACGTGATTTCAGGTGTTCAAGGAGACTAACATCTGTATAATGAACTATTACTAAAACATTAAATTAAGGAAATAAAATCAAACAGCTACGACCTTTAACGCTGATGACATCATTAGTGTAGAAGTATGTTTCTTCCTCTTCTAACTGATTCTAATTACATTTAAAGCATTACACTAACCACCTGTTACAACTGATGGTGGCAAGTGAGGATCTTAAATAGTTAACTTATTAAATCTAACTCACCATTAGAACAAAATTTATTCAGTTGATAAGTTACACATTTCTGCAATAAAATGGGAATGAAACTATTAAGAAGTATGACTTTAATTTCAAAATCACAAAGTTTGGCTAGGCTATGGATAGGAAATCTTGGCTATGGGTTGGAAAATCTATCTGTGGGTAGATGATCTAGGCTATGGGTGGGGGATCCAACTGTTGGTGGGAGATCTAGGCTATGGGTTGGGGAATTTGACTGTGGGTAGGTGATCTAGGCTATGGGTAGGGGATCCAACTGTGGGTGGGAGATCTAGGCTATGGGTGGGGGATCCAACTGTGTGTGGGAGATCTAGGCTATGGGTGGGGGATCCAACTGTTGGTGGGAGATCTGGGCTATGGGTTGGGG